AATAATAATACAGTATAACACGGACAGCGCGAATTCGTCGGGACCGGCCTCGGGAGTTTGAGGGATTCGTAGTTCAAGGGATGCGTGAACTGTGCTGTGGAATCGCCCGTGTCAGCGAATCAAGGGAAGCAACAAAGATTAGGTCGAAACAGAGATTTTCCTTTTTTTCGGCCTTGTCCTAGATCAGCCTATTGACTTGAATTTGAAAGAATTTGAAATTGACAGATTGAGAATGAGAAGCACGATGAGCAATTTAAGACTTTTCAAAACATAAACAATTTGACAAGACAAGCATATCGCAACAGTAATCAACAACGCATTGACTAAACAATGCAGCCCTACCCCACTGCTCCCAACTAACGTGCAGTCTTTTGCAAAGAGGGGTGGGGCAGCCGATCGGGCGATGCACAATCCTTCCTCTCTCACGCTCCACATGGGCCTAGCTAGGCCTAGAACCTAGGCACGCGTAGAGGGCCGCGCGTCGAGGAGTGCGCTAAAACAAAGCACAGCTAGCTACTTCTGTCTCAAGTGCACCTCAAAGGACATTGACTTAGACCTCTACGGCTCTACGGTGGCGTAATTAGTTCGACTATTCCGTATTTGTGTTCGAGCTTCGCGTAATGTTCTTAAAAGATAAAGAATAACTTAAAACGGGATCGTAGATCGTAGGCACAATTTGGCGGATGCATTATTTCGAGTAATCTGCGTTCGACCCATTCGGGTTATACTTACTTACTGGAATTACTTGAATCTATAAATTGGGTCTTAGGAAGACGAGATGCTCCATGTTTGCTCGCCCCTCTTTATGAGGGTCCATTTCAGTGTGGGCAGGCTGATTGTCTACATCATCAGCTGGTTGTTGTAGCGTCTGATGGGGTCACGCAGCCTGCTCTTCCTACCTTAACCAAGCTGCACTCATTTCGCAATCACAACCTCCTTCTTGAAAGAATCCTCATCACGGCTTCTGGGTAGGTTTTCTTGGACAAGGGCTTCTACAGTTGAAGGGTCAAGGGTAAGCACTCCCTCTATGTTTGCGGAACCTACTAGCTTATCTGCTCGTTCATTTCCCTTGACTCCTGCATGTCCTGGATAGAAGATCCACTGCAAGCGTCTGATTTTGCTGTCTTGGATTATCTTAAACCAGTCTGCATAGAGGCTGCCAGTCAGGATCTTATCCAGAGTACTCACTGGGTCTGTAACAAAGGTAGCCTGTTGGTATCCATTAGTGCAAAGCCATTTCAGAGCCTCAGTGATGGCCTTGATCTCCATGAAATTGCTTGATGTAGTAGTGAGGCCCGTTGCCCCAGATGCCTCCTGGACTGTTACTCCTTGGCAAGAAGCCGTGTAAGCCCAGCCTGATTTGATCCCACGCTGAACAGAGCCATCAGTGAAGATAATGGTTTCATCCTCTCTGTAGTTCTCTTC